TCCTACATCTAATATAATGTTTATTATAATTTAGTACTCTTCATACACATAAGCACTATTTTCCGAAATATCTTTCATATTACATTACACTGATTAAAAATAAATCAGAATTCCAATTATATATTTACGTACATAAGTAGACATACCACCACCACTAAATTTAGTACAAAAACCTCTTTGACACTTCTTTCTAACTCTCCGTCAATGACCCACATTTCAAATTTTAGATTTCCAGCTCTCTCCGTTACCCAAATCCAAAATTAGTGTATTTTCTATTCTATTTACTATTCGTACACACTCAATACAACATTTCAAGAGTCATCTAAATTCCAAATCTCAGGATGTAACCAAATCCAAATTGTTCCAAATTTAGCACAATTTAGTAATTTTTATACTCTAATATAAGAATTTCTAAAACTACATCAGTCCTACACTCTAACAATAATCGTAATTTCACCAAAGTTCAAATTGTACCAAATTTAGTACTTTTTTACTCATAAGTACAAATTTCCAAAGTACCTCAATCCTGATTTTAAATAGTAATCGTAAGTCCAAATTTAAAAATTCCAGCTCTGTATGTTTATTAAAAACCAAATTGTACCAGATTTGGTACCTTTCTGAACTTTTCGTACCCATATTTCAAACCTGCTTTTAAACAGTAATTGTAAGTCCAAATTTAAACTTTTCAGATCTGTATGTTTACGTAAAGCCAAATTGTACCAGATTTGGTACCATTCTGTGCTTTTTGCATTTATATTCCAAACCTATATAAATCTAACCATAAGTACGAATTTCCAAAACTACCTTAGTCCAGCTCTATCCGTTCACCAACTTTTCGTAGACATAGGTACGAATTTCTTAAACTTCCTCACCTGCAACCTGGGGAGCTATTCTCATCACCCGATGAAATAGTGATCTAATATGTGTCGCGAGTTCACCCATAAGAACTATAAAAAATGGGTTGAGGCGTCGGGTTAGTTGCCCACTCTCGGAAAACCCAACCTACTATGAAAAAGCTAAGAAAAAGAAAACCAAACGACAACGGCATGAGGTTGATTGACTTCGCGTCAGCAAAAAACATGGTAGTTAGCAGCACCAGATTCAAGCATCTCGATATACACAAGGCCACCTGGATCTCTCCTGATCAAGTAACGCTCCTCGATCCGAGGAGCGAATATCGATTCGGACCATTACCTTGTGGCAGCCAATGTACGCGCCTGTCTTAATGTTGCAGCAAAGGTGCGATCTAATACAACACGGAAACTCGACGTCGAAAAGCTGCAAACACAACAGGTAGCCGAGGCCTACTCCGCTCAACTTACCTATCTGCTTGAAGAATACACTTCTTGTCCCGATAATAGTATACAAACTGCAGCAAAAGAAACACTTGGGTACCAAAAACCACCACCACTACTGATGTGAAAAACGCAGCGTATAGGGCAACCCTGCAGACAGTAGCAACACGTAACGTGATGGAGAATTATCGGGAGAAAAGGAGAGAGGAGAAACGTGTTTTCAGAAAGAACAAGAAAAACGTGAGCATGAGCAAATCGAGATGTACAGGAGTCAGAATGAAGTCCGGAAATTTTACCAACAAGTAAAACACCAAACCGAAGGCTTTGGTGCAGGCACAACCTCCTGAAGAGATGAAGAAGGAAACCTGGTGACAGATACAGACAGAGTGTTGAGGATCTGGAAGGAGCATTTCGAAAAGCTTCTAGTATCAAATAGTGGCGATGAAGAAGATACCCCAGAACCAATAAGAGATGATGGTATAGAGTGTATACCACCTAGCCAAGATGAGGTCATAAAAGCAATTAATCGGCACAAGAACAAACAAAGCAGCACGAGCCAGCCGAACTATTCAAGACTCTTGGCCAGATGCTGGTCAGGAGCATGCACCAGCTGATTAGTACAATTTGGCTAGATGAATGCATGACCAATGATTGGAACCTCAGCATCCTGTGTCCCGTGCACAATAAAGAAGACAAGACGATATGTGTCAACTATAGAGGAATAAATCTCCTTCCCATCGCATATAAAGTGATATCCAGTGTGCTGTGTGAACGATTGAATGCGGCTTCAGACATGGCAAATCAACCATTGACCAGATTTTCACTCTGCGCCAAATCCTGAAAAAGACCCATGAAAAACACATCGACACATACCACCTATTTGTAGACTATAAAGCCGCATTCGACAGCCCTATCCATACGAGACGCAAAGGTGAACAAAAATGGCACTCTGAGCAGAAGCATGGGTACGTGCGCAAGCAGTACCCATGTACGGTGGCTAGGCCATGTTGTGCGGATGAATGAAAATGCCACAGCGCAAAAGGCATATAAAAACGAGCCTACTAATGGTTCCCGTAGAAGGGGAAGGCCACGAATTAGAGGAAAGACCAAGTAGAAAATCAACATCTTGGAACGTGGATCAACAGCCCGATCTGCGTCGACGGTGAATATCGCCGAATGAATGTATATATATATATATACTCGGATATCGACATAGTCAGACGTATCGAGCGGCATCGACTACGGTGGCTAGGTCATGTTGTAAGAATGGATGAAAAAGCCCCAGCTCAAAAGGCATATAAAAGCGAGCCTACCGATGGTGCACGCAGAAGGGGATGGTCGCGAATTCGATGTATTCTTGATCAGTGTACATTTCTTGGACGATTTAGCGTCCGTCTGTCTGTTGTAATGACTCTAGCCTCTAAATTGTCTGCAGGTGAGCTATATCGGCCCACTTTTCGGCATAGCCCCATATAAGGGTACCCCCAATTTTCGGTTTTTTGTTGTTCTAGAGCTCGTTTTTGAACAGAGTTCGCTGAAATTTAGTGCAATAGGTTCTTCGTGGGTGCCAAATTTAACCACAAATTGTGTGCCAAATTCTAACCCCCTCCCCCCATTTTCGGTATTTTAGGGTTCTTGGTGTGTTTTTCAACCGATGTCGCTTTTATTGGGCACCTAGCTTTCTTAGTGGGCACCAAATGTCTTAGTGGGTACCAAATCTCTCCTTATAACGGTACTCCGCAGTTTTAAGTACTTTGGGCCCGACCGAACTAAATGTTTTTTCTTCAAACAAATACATTTCAAATGCCAGGAGTTCCTTTAAAAAAATATTTTTAAAAATTGTTGTGGGTTAAGTATGAGAAAGAGTGAACCGATCTTTATACATCTATGAACTTTATTTGAATTTTGAAATCGGACGTTCCACTTGGTTGATATTGGATTAACAAATTTTCAAAATGTTGACAGGTTGTGCGAGAGATACCAGAAGGAATGGGCCAATGGTTCCCATATTGACACCTTATCTAGGTTTGTTATAGAAAATAGGTTTTAGTTGGGAGAAGGATGACAGATAATCATTGCACAATAGCACAAATGTCCTCAGGTAACTGTCTCTACACAGATGGCTCCTGGCTAGCAGGAATGTCTGCTATATTTTATTGAAGAACCATGAACCGAAATTCGCCTGTTAGAACACAATATGATCGTGCAGGCGGAGATTCAAGCTAAAATAAAAAATTTTTGTTATTTGAATTTTGCCTTGTAAGGGCAGTGATAATTTCAAAGTAATTTTAAGTGATTATTTATACTTTTTCGATCTTGATGATCTAAGTTTTGCAATGAAAAGGAAAGCCAGGAGAAGAACCTACGTACTCATCATTATGCGACGCGTTTCGCCGTTGGTTAAGCGGCTCATCAGGCATATTGGACTGTGTGGCTTTACAAAGGTCGTACGTTGATAACTTGTATTTATTCCGCCCTGATGCGCAACTTACATATGCGAATTAAATTCAAATTTATCAAAGTTCGACATTTGTCTTTATTCTAGGAACAGTCGAAAGAGTATAAATAATCACTTAAAATTACTTTGAAATGATCACTGCTCTTACAAGGCAAAATTCAAATAACAAAAATTAATTTCAGCGAACCTAGGTCCTCGGAGCAACACAAATGTTGCCAGACCACTTAACGTTCTGAGCCATTAACACACTTCCAAAACGGTTGCGCAAAAACATGTGTATACCATGGAAGAAATTGTAGGTGTGTGTATTAGTTATCAATCGCTACAAGAAAATTCTGCTTTCAAAAGGACTGTTCCTAGAATGAATGAATGAAAAAGTTTAAAGGAATTCACTAAGAACACAAAATTCCTCTCCTACAAGAGTGCTCAATAGGCTTTCGACTGCCTTAAGTGTACGTTCTACTATGAACCTGTGGTGACGTAAACCAATTTTATTTTAAACGTAGCTTGGACGTGAGCGTGGCAATATCCTTGCTCACTACTTCCACTAACTTATTCTCTTCTCAAGCACTCTAAGAAGGTTATGTCGATTTTACATTCGTTTTCCGACTCGGAATTTGGTTTCCATTCCCCGCCTATTTAAGAAGATTGGGTGCAGTTCCAGTTAGCTGCATGGTTATCAGGATATCCTTCATTGCAGTTTGCTAGATTTTTTCCTCATTGCTGCTTCTTATTTTAGGGGAACTCCACGAATTTATGCTTTTCGGGGATTAATAAGCTTGAATTCTGTTAACTCAAATTTAACTATTTATATCAGATAAGTATGATCATCCAGCTTTCGCCTACCCTTTACTAGGATACCGGCAACACCGTTGGGACAACATAAAGTTTTTCTTCATACTTCAAAATGTGTCATTCCATGTTTTAATCTTTTGCTGCATACTTTTAAAGCATACCTTGCACATTTCATTTCTTTCAAAAATTGTCCTTGGAGTTTGTACATTTGCCGAACCATATAAACTGTCCGCAGTGGAAGTAAATTCTAACTCATTTCCGAAGTCCCTTGCCAATTCGGTCTTATTTGGGTAGCCAGATAAGTGGTAACAAATTTCGTCACATCCCTAATAAATTGTAAGAAATACCACTAAGCCAATTATAATTCAAATAAAAATACTGATTTTATTAGCCTCATTAAGAAAAAAATATAAGATAGAACCTAAATTCATTTTTAGCAAACTTTGCGGGGATCAATCGAAGAGTCCTTCTTTGCGGGCTTGTTTGACCATTTCAATTAAACCATCAGTTACTTCGGCACAAACTTCCAAAATTTGAGAAGCAGGCAAGAAGAAACCATATTTGGAGCCATCATCACGCAATTCAATGGTGGCAGTGAATGGGATATTCTTAACACCATAGGCCCAATCCTTGGCCGAACCGGAAACGGGATCTATTGAAGTAAATATAAGATATAATTAGTTTATTCACGAATATTAAATTATCATGTCACTTACAATTCAAAAGGCCACTGGCACCACTTTTGAATTCTGTACCATACTTCACCCTGGCACCATCAGCAAAGGCATTGGCAATACGCATCATCTGATCATAGTTGGGTGGGAATTCTTCACTGGTGTGGCCATAGGGCAACAAGACGAAGTTGCCAAATGAATGGAAAGCCAAATACATGCGAATGTAACCCTCAGGGAAGGCATTAACGAAATTTTCCAAAGCCAAAACTTCTGGTTCGCTATCAGGGACAGCACCGCCATACCAGTGGTCACAGGGGACATCAATGTTGTAGCCGGCACCTAATAAAATGAGAATTGGTTTCATTACCCTGTTTTGATGTATTCTCCATAGATCTACCTACCTCCCCACTTATAATCAAAGTTACGATTCATATCGGTACCATAGCAAATACCCGAGGAGTTGGAGAAACCAGTTGGCTTGCGGTTCTTGCGCCACAAACGTTCAACATTGTGAGTATATTCCAAACCATCAGGATTCAAAACGGGTACATAAATCCAATCGTAATTCATCAACAACTCTTTCATCTCAGCAGTTTCGGCCTTGAGTAAATTATTAATGAAACATGTGGTGGTGGCGGAGGAAATCCATTCAATGGCATGGATGTTGGATTCAACAAAGACGGCCTTGTTTCCAGGTTTGGTGGAAATCCTAACAGCCTTAATAGGGCGACCTTCATATGATTTGCCAATAATGAAAGGTGTTACTTTGAACATATTCTTAAGTACAAGGATGTCCAACCAATCATAAATATCAGCCAATTGATGATATTTTGTCCAGGTCATGGTGTCGTTGAAAAGTCCCATATTGGCGGGCATACTTTGTTCCAATACTCTGGGGGAGGAAATTACACAAATCAATTAATTTCGAGTTTTAAACTCTACACAATTCATAACGAAGCTAGTCGAGGATCTAGTGTATATTTTCGAAAATTGGACCAAACTTACTCTTGCAAATCGTCAATGGTGAGCTCATAATTTAATTCTTGATATTGCATGTGACTTTCCAAGGCCTTTTGATTGGCGGGATCAATGGCAAGGGTATAGCTGCGTCCGGGGCCACTGATATCACTCAAGAAGCGGACCTATAAAAAACGAAAATTAAGTAAAATAACATAATGTGTAAGAACAATTCCCCCTCCTTAAATAATAAAAGGTATGTTGAATACTCACAGGAATATTGTTGGCCAATTTCTTATATTCCGACAATTGCTGTTCATCCTTGACAAAAACTTTATAGACTTTGAAGCCATCATATCGGGCTGCTGGTGGCTTGAAGGCTGCTGTCACTCCAAGGAGGGCAACTGTAATTGCCAATGTTATAATACATGGTGTATACGAAGGCTTGCAAATGAAGACTCTGCTTTGTTTATAGCTCACAATCGACTTTATATACAAAATTATCTGGAGCAAAGACCCCTAGCAGATATGATTTTGGCAAAGATTTCTTATCTCTATTTTTGGGGGTTATTAAATTTTAAAGGGGGCCAATTTCACCGACCAAAATTTATCAAATTTAGCCTACATGTGCCAAATCGCATTTACGTCTTATTTCAATATCTTTCTTTTTTATGTGGATAACAACACTAATAAAAAATTATTATGGCTAAAGGTCGTATACAGGGAAGTAATGTTCGGATTGGTTATTGCCTTTTCATTATTATTATGTGTTTGTTTGGTTGATCAGAAATAATATATCACCACCCCTAGTGATGATTTTTATCTGCGGTGTTAGGGTAGGACTTGAAAACAAATATTTTATTGATTTATTGTTATTACCATTGATATTATATACTTTGTATATAAAGTCTAGCCCTTTTCTTAAAATTTCGTTATTGTATGCAAATGGCGTAACTGAGTCACTAGTTGATAGCTTTGACAAATTAGTATTTCTAATTAATGTTGAATATACTAAATTTCAAAATGGGAAACATAAATTGTAAAATGGTTCTCTATGGCTCATTATTATTGGTAATTCTATGGAAGCGCAGTAGGCTCGAAATGGAACTTAAATCTTATCAGATACCTCACGTGCACCCGGTTTTCTGAAGTGACCGAGTTAATTCTGTTGTAAGTTTTTAAAACCGTCAAGGTACATATATATTACGTCTATAAAAATAAGCTTGGAATTATATTGCACTCTCATATTAATTTTTATGAAATATAATTAAATTTTATGTATCTTCAAATCATATTATGTTTATACCCTTCACCACACTGTGGTACAGGGTATTATGTCTTTGTGCATATATTTGTAACAGGCAAAAGAAAACGAGATAGACCCATGGTTCCTTTTGAGAATATGCATTGAATCGATTTCTGAGTCGATTTATGCATGTCCGTCCGTCTGTCCATGTTAAATTGTAAACAAAGTACAGGTCGCAGTTATTATCCGAATTGGATGAAATTTGGCACAGCTCATCTATTTGGCCCAAGGACCCTATTGAAATTGGCAAAAATCTTTTCAGATTTAGATATAGCTCCCATATATATTTTCGTCCGATTTAAGGTAAATGGTGCACCAAAGTACCTATATGTCTTTCGATTTGTACCAAATTTGGCATATCATACTAAATTAAGTCTAGAGAGATGTGTGTAAAATTTCGTGAAAATCGGTTCAGATTTAGATATAGCTCCCATATATAGTTTCGTCCGATTTTCAGTAAATGGTCCACCAATGTCCCTATATATCATTCGATTTGCACGAAATTTTGACACAGCGTACTGAATTATGTCAAGAACGATGTGTGCTAAGTTTCAAGAAAATCGGTCCACATTTAGATATAGCTCCCATATATATTATCGTCCGATTTTATGTAAATGTTGCACCAATGTCCCTATATATCATTCGATTTGCATGAAATTTGGCATAGCGTACTGAATTAAGTCTGAAATGATGAGTGGTAAGTTTCAGTAAAATTTCGGTGAATGAAGTCTAGAGTGATTTGGGTTAAGTTTCGGGAAAATCGGTTCGGATTTAGATATAGCTCCCATATATATTTTCGTCCGATTTTTTGTAAATGGTGCACCAAAGTCCCTATATATCATTCGATGTGCACGAAATGTGGCATAGAGTAATGAATTGAGTCTAGAATCATTCTAGAACTCCTAATGCTTGTTCGATTAACACGAAATTTTGCACAATGTATCAAATTGAGACTTGAATGACGTTATTGCGTATCATTGAAATTGGTGCAGATGCAGCCATAGCTTCCATATGTATTTCGAACGGATGTCTGATTGAAATTAAATTTTTAACAGTGCGGCGTACTGAATAGCGTGTATCAATTTTGCTATAAATCGTTTTCCATAAATTTGTCCCATGGTACACAGACTACTCTAAATCTGCCCGAATAAAATTAAATTTATCATAGGTTGCCGAAGGAACATGAGCATGTTCCTTCGAGTAACAGTGAAATGCAATTGTGAGGATTCATATGTACAACATACCCAAAGTGGTGAAGGATGTCGTATAGTCGCCCGAGTCCGACTTTACTACTTTCTTTGCTGGTTTATCATATATTCGGTTACGACCGGCTTTTTATACCCTCCACCATAGTATGAAGGGTATATTAATTTTGTTTTTCCTTTTGTAACTCATCGAAATAATCATTTCCGACCCTATAAAGTATATATATTCTTGATCAGCGTAAAATTCTATGACGAAATAACATTGTCCGTCTGTCTGTTGTAATCACTCTAGCGTCTAAATGAATTGAGATAGATCGCCATTGAGATGACGCCGGCAGGCCAAATTCGAAGATGGGCTTTATCGGTCCACGTTTAGGCATAGCTCCCATATAAGGGTACCCCACATTTTCGGTATTTTGGGGTTCATGAGCATGTTTTTTAACGGAATTCGTTGAAATTTGCTACATTGGGTTCTTATTGGGTAATAAATGTCTCCACAAAAAATTATAAATATAGGTCCACTTTTTCTGGTAGCCTCCATATAACGGTACCTACTAATTTTCAGTATTTTGTGGGTTTTGATCGTATTTTTCCGCCGAAATGGCTGTAATTTAGTATTTTGAGTTCTTAGTAGGTACAAAATCGCTCCATTTTTTCGGATAGCCCCCAATTTTCGGTATTTTGAGGTTCTTGAGCGTGTTTTTCAACCGATTTTGCTGTAATTTGGTATTTTGTAGTCGTATATGGTAACAAATCTCCCTACCAAAAATTATTAATATTCACCCCATTTTAGGGGTAGTCCCCATATAACCCCTTGTTATACCCTTCACCACACTGTGATACAGGGTATAATGTCTTTGTGCATATGTTTGTAACAGGCAAAAATTATCGAGATAGACCCATGGTTCCTTTTGAGAATATGCATAGAATCACTTTCTGAATCGATTTATGCATGTCCGTCCGTCCGTCCATGTATTTTCGTGAACAAAGTACAGGTCGCATTTATGATCCAATTTGGATGAAATTTGGCAGATGTCACTTAATTGGCCCAAGGCCGAACACTATTGAAATTGGAGAAAATCGGTTCAGATTTAGTTTCGTCCGATTTAATGTAAATGGGGTACCAAAGTCCCTGTATATCTTTCGATTTGCACGAAATTTGGTATATCCTACTGAATTAGGTCTAGAATGATGTGTGCTAAGTTTCGTGAAAATCGGTCTAGATTTAGATAAAGCTCCCATATATAGTTTCGTCCGATTTTAAGTAAATGGTGCACCAAAGTCCCTATACATCTTTCGATTTGCACGAAATTTCGTATAGCCTACTGAATTAGATATAGAATGACGTTTCGTCTCAATATATAAATATAAAATCGGACGAAAATATCTATGGGAGCTGTATCCGATCCGATCACATGCACACATTATTCTAGACACAATTCAATACACCCTGCAAAATTTCGTCTCAATCGCACAAACTATGGGAGTTTGGCGCACTGTTCATATAAAATTGGACGAAAATATATATGGGAGGTATATCTTAATCAGAACCGATTTAAAAAAAAAAAATCAATACGTTTTGCAAAATGTTGTCTCAATTAGGAGCAACTTTGGGAGTTTGGTGCACCACTTACATGAAATGGATCGAACATATATATTGGCCCTATATTTAATCTGAACCCATGTTCTCCAATTTCAATAGGGGAAAGAATCTTAATTTGCAATGCTGGAGGGCTAAAAAGGGGTTTAACATCGCTTTACATGGGGGCGAGGCCCAAGGCCCTTATCTTCCAAAACAAAAAGAGTGGACTACAAAGGTGTATGAATGTTGGAACATTTGGTATGTTCCAGTACTTTTTAATAGTAAATCTAGTAAAGTAAGGGAACCATTTCAAAATAACTCTCAGAGCACAAAATAATTTGAAAAGTTCGGAATGGTAATGCTTCAAAATCAACATAACAGTCAATCAGAAGTAAGCATTCATTTTTACTCGACCAAATTTCTCGAGTAAAAAGTTTACAAAGAGAAAGCAATTTTGTTTTGTGCTCTCTTAAATTTGATTCAATGATTTACCAGTTTTATGGGTTCAGGAACGGCTTTCGCGTAAAAAGTTGCAAAACTTGTAAAATTAGTAGATTCTTTTAGGTTCTGGAACGGAACTATTGTCTACTAAGAAGTCAACCAAAAATGTTCTACCTAATATATTTCCACAAAAAAAAGTTTGAACGTTCGTACACTAGTTAAGATAGAAGGCATATTAAAGAAGGAATACTATCTCAATATTCTTCAAACCAATTTGCCCGAATATGTGGAGTAAAGTTTATATCCCATGGAGGGGTTACAGTTTCAACAAGATGCATATCCTACGCACACCTCGTAGATTTCTAGAAATTGGTTGTAAAAACAAAAATTTTAATTGATCAGTGTCGCACTATGTGAGTTCATATAAACAGCGGTCAAAAATAGGTGGATGAAATTTGGTACAAGTGTTTATTATTGACCTGAAGATCAAGTAATAAAAAATTGGATAGATCGGACCAATATTTGGTATACCTCCCATACAAAGGGTTTTGAGAAATTCACTTTTTGGGCCTATAAAAATATATATGGCTGCTATATCTAAATCTGGACAAATTTTCAGGAAACTTAACACACATCATGCTAGACCTAATTCAGTCCCCTGTGCCAAATTTCGTGCAAATCGAAAGATATATAGGGTCTTTGGTACACTATTTAAATTAAATCGGAAGGAAATATATATGGGAGCTATATCTAAATCTGGACTGATTTTTAGGAAACTTAACACACATCATTCTAGACCTAATACAGTACGCTATGCCAAATTTTGTGTAAATCGAAAGATATATAGGGACTTTGGTACACCATTTACATAAAATCGGACGAAAATATATATGGGAGCTATATCTAAATCAGGACCGATTTTCACGAAACTTTGCACACATCATTCTAGACCTAATTTAGTACGATGTACCAAATTTCGTGCAAATCAAAAGATATATAGGGACTTTGGTACACCATTTACATTAAATCGGACGAATATATATATATATATATATATAGGAGCTATATCTAAATCTGGACCGATTTTCTGGAAACTTAACACACATCATTCTACTCCTAATTCAGTACGCTGTGCCAAATTCCGTATTAATTTTGCAGGAATGCAAATCGAACGATGTATAGAGACTTTGGTACACCATTTACCTTAAATCGGACGAAAATATATATGGGAGCTATATCTAAATCTGAACCGATTTTTCCCAATTTCAACAGGGTTCGTCCTTGGGCCAAATAAGTGACCTTACCAAATATCATCCAATGCGACCTGTACTTTGTTTACAATTTAACATGGACAGACAGACAGACGGACGGACATGCATAAATCGATTTAAAAAGTGATTCTATGCATATTCTCAAAAGGAATCATGTGTCTATCTCGTTTCCTTCTGCCTGTTACAAACATATGCACAAAGACATAATACCCTGTACCACAGTGTGGTGAAGGGTATAAAAACGCAGTTTGTCAGATTTGAACCTTTGTTATACAAAATTACTTGACGTATCAATATCAAATTTCATATTTATTCTAACTGGAGTGTTTTTTTATCAATTCTCATAAATAAATTTGTCCTCCAAGGTAGTTGGTTTTGAGCATTTTTGGCCGCTGTCTGATCGAAAGTTTAATCGAGGAATGATAGTTTTTTAAAGATCACCAACTAACATGGATGAGATCTGGCAATGAGCACAAGGGAATGTAACATTGATGAAGAGTAGCCAAAGCACATTTTATGAATACAGCACTAGTTTCGTCTGTTAGCTGCATGTTTATTGGGATAGCGTTGACTACAGTTGCAGGATTTTGGTTCTGCAAAGTAACATTATTATTTTAAATAAGGAATATTGTTGTTTTTTATTTTAGGATAACACATTCCTTGTTGTGGTGTTTGGGGATTTATAACCATGAATTCCGATTATACTTGATTACCTCAAGTTAAACTATTTTTATCTGATAATATAAAAATCACCCTTCCGCCTATCCATTAATAGGAGACTGACAACACCGTCGGAATAACATAAAGTTTTTCTTTATACTTCAATACATTCATACCTGTAAAGCATAGCTACCACATTTTAGTACTTTACAGGTAGAAACGTTCTTGCAAAAGTTGTTGCAGATTGTACATTTGTCGAACCATAAAAACAAACTGTACGCGGCGAAGGTAAATTCATACCCAATCCCGAAGTCTTTTTAAAGTGCTTTGGCGTTTCGGTATTATTTGGGGAGCCAGATAAGTGGTAACAAATTTCGTCACATTCCTAATAAATTGTAAGATAAACCACTAAGCCAATTATAATTCAAATAAAAATACTGATTTTATTAGCCTCATTACGAAAAAAAATATATGAAAGAATCAAAATTTGTTTATAGCAAACGATGAGGAAATCAATCGAAGAGTCCTTCTTTGCGGGCTTGTTGGACCATTTCAATTAAACCATCAGTTACTTCGGCACAAACTTCCAAAATTTGAGAAGCAGGCAAGAAGAAACCATATTTGGAGCCATCATCACGCAATTCAATGGTGGCAGTGAATGGGATATTCTTAACACCATAGGCCCAATCCTTGGCCGAACCGGAAACGGGATCTATTGAAGTAAATATAAGATATAATTAATTTATTCACGAAAATTAAATTATCATGTCACTTACAATTCAAAAGACCACTGGCACCACTTTTGAATTCAGTACCATACTTCACCCTGGCACCATCAGCAAAGGCATTGGCAATACGCATCATCTGATCATAGTTGGGTGGGAATTCTTCACTGGTGTGGCCATAGGGCAACAAGACGAAGTTGCCAAATGAATGGAAAGCCAAATACATGCGAATGTAACCCTCAGGGAAGGCATTAACGAAATTTTCCAAAGCCAAAACTTCAGGTTCGCTATCAGGGACAGCACCGCCATACCAATGGTCACAGGGGACATCAATGTTGTAGCCGGCACCTAATAAAATGAGAATTGGTTTCATTACTCTGTTTTGATGTATTCTCCATAGATCTACCTACCTCCCCATTTATAATCAAAGTTACGATTCATATCGGTACCATAGCAAATACCCGAGGAATTGGAGAAACCGGTTGGCTTGCGGTTCTTGCGCCACAAACGTTCAACATTGTGAGTATACTCGAGACCATCGGGGTTCAAAACAGGTACATAAATCCAATCGTAATTCATCAACAATTCTTTCATCTCAGCAGTTTCGGCCTTGAGCAAATTATTAATGAAACATGTGGTGGTGGCCGAGGAAATCCATTCAATGGCATGGATGTTGGATTCAACGAAGATGGCCTTGTTTCCAGGTTTGGTGGAAATCCTAACAGCCTTAATGGGACGACCTTCATATGATTTGCCAATAATGAAAGGTGTTACTTTGAACATATTCTTAAGTACAAGGATGTCCAACCAATCATAAATATCAGCCAATTGATGATATTTTGTCCAGGTCATGGTGTCGTTGAAAAGTCCTATATTGGCGGGCATACTTTGTTCCAATACTCTGGGGGAGGAAATTAAACAAATCAATTAATTTCGGGGTTTAAACTCTACACAATTCATGACGAAGCTAGTCGGGGATCTAGTGTATATTTTCGAAAATTGCCCCAAACTTACTCTTGCAAATCATCAATGGTGAGCTCGTAATTCAATTCTTGATATTGCATGTGACTTTCCAAAGCCTTTTGATTGGCAGGATCAATGGCAAGGGTATAGCTGCGTCCGGGACCACTGATATCACTCAAGAAGCGGACCTGTAAAAAAATAAGTAAAATAACATAATGTGTAAGAACAATTCTCCCTCCTTAAATAATAAAAGGTATGTTGAATACTCACAGGAATATTGTTGGCCAACTTCTTATATTCCGACAATTGCTGTTCATCCTTGACAAAAACTTTATAGACTTTGAAACCATCATATCGAGCTGCTGGTGGCTTGAAGGCTGCTGTCACTCCAAGGAGGGCAACTGTAATTGCCAATGTTGCGAGTAATTTCATGGTGTATACGAAGGCTTGCAAATGAAGACTCTGCTTTGTTTATAACTCACAATCGACTTTATATACAAAATTATCTGGAGCAATGACTCCGAACAGATTTGTTATTGGCAAAGATTTCTTATCTTTATTATTAATGGGGGGTTATTAAATTTTAAAGGGTACCAATTTCACCGACCAAAATTATCAGTTTTGCCTACATGTGCCAGATCGCATGTATGTCTAATTTCAATATCTTTTTCGTTTATGTGGATATCAACAATAATAAAAAAATATTATAGCTAGAGGTCGTATACAAGGAAGTAATGTTCGTATCGATTATTGCCTATTCAGTCTTATTTTTTTTTTTTTTTGGTTGATCAGAAATCATAAAATTCACCCCTAGTTATGCTTGTGTTAGGGTAGGACTTGAAAACAAATATTTTATTGATTTATTATTATTACCACTGATATTAAACATTTTGCCTAGCTCTTTTTTATTTAGAACTAGCTGAACCCGTGGCGCTTCGCTGCCCCTACTAAAGGGATTAACATAGGATAGTTCACTATTTGCATGCTGTTTAACAGCTGATATTTGCCGAACATACATATGCTTTCGAAAACGCTTCACTATTTATTGATAGGCAAACATTACAATTTGACTATAGTGTAATATTTCGTAGTGTAATATCAGTAGCAGCAGGTTAATGTATTAGTATATTTGATTTGATTCAATAGAATCTTTGACTATCCGTGGTAATATTTAAAACAAATTTGGCTTGACTTGTCTCAATCAGTTGTAATAGTACCATACACAAAGATCACACGACAAACTGTCACCTTGTCTGAATCCTCGTTCGGTATTGAAGAGCTCCGATAGATCCTTTCCTACTTTAACTGCAGACCTTATGCCACTTAAAGTTGTCCTGCATATCCGTATTAATTTTGCAGGAATGCCGAACGTAGACATGGCTTTAAACACCTCTGAACGGATAGGGCTGTTGAATGCGGCTTTATAGCCGACAAATAGGTGGTATGTGTCGATGTGTTTTTCGTGGATCTTTTTTGGCGCAGAGTGAAAATCTGTTCAATGTTGGTTTTGCCAGGTCTGAAGCCGCATTGGTATGGACCGATGATGTCATTGACCATTGGCTTCAGTCGTTCACACAGCTCACTGGATAGCACTTTATATGCGATGGGAAGGAGACATATTCCTCTATAGTTGGCACAAATCGTCTTGTCCCCTTTTTTGTGCACGGGACACAGGATGCTGAGGTTCCAATCATTGGGCATGCATTCATCTAGCCAAATTGTACTAATTAGCTGGTCATGCTCCTGACAAGCATCTGGCCAAGAGTCTTGAATAGTTCGGCTGGCTCGTGCTGCTTTGTTTGTTCTTGTGCCGATTAATTGCTTTTATGACCTCATCTTGGCTAGGTGGTATACACTCTATACCATCATCCCTTATTGATTCTAAGGTATCTTCTTCAATGCCACTATTTTATACCAGAAGCTTTTCAAAATGCTACTTCCAGATCCTCAACACGCTGTCTGTATCTGTCACCAGGTTTCCTTCTTCATCTCTACAGGAGGATGGGCCTGCACCAAAGCCTTCGGTTTGGTGTTTTACTCCTTGGTAAAATTTCCGGACTTCATTTTGACTCCTGTGCATCTCGATTTGCTCACGCTCACGTTTTTGTTGCTCCTTCTTCTTTTTTCGGGAGAAAAGGGGAGAGGAAAAACGTGTTTCTCTCCCGACAATTCTCCATCACGTTACGTGTTGCTACTGTCTGAAGGGTTGCCCTATACGCTGCGTTTTTCACATCAGTAGCATTACGACACTCCTGACGTACCATGAGTTTCTTGGTGGTGGTTTTTGGTGCCCAAGTGTTGCTTTTGCTGCAGTTTGTAGGGAGTGTGCAATTCTTTGCCATTGTGCTTCTATACTATTATCGGGACAAGAAGTGCTTTCTTCAGCAGATGGGTAAGTTGAGCGGAGTAGGCCTCGGATAACTGTTGTGTTTGCAGCTTTTCGGCGTCGAGTTTCCGTGTTGTGTTAGATCGCACCTTTGCTGCTAGATTGAGATGGGTGCGTACCTTGGCTGCCACAAGGTAATGGTCCGAATCGATATTCGCTCCTCGGATCGATGGGACGTCTAAAACACTGGATGAATGCCTTCCGTCTATCACAACATGCTCAATTTGATTTCTCGTTACTTGATCAGGAGAGATCCATGTAGCCTTGTGTATATCGAGATGATTGAATCTGGTTCTGCTAAATATCATGTTTTTTGCTGCCGCGAAGTCAATCAACCTCATGCCGTTGTCGGATGTTTCTTCCTGAAGGCTGAATTTTCCGACGGTGGGGCCAATGATATTTTCCTTTCCGATTTTTGCATTAAAATCTCTCAGCAGAATTTTAAAGTCATGGCCAGGGCAACGGTCATATGCTGTTTCTAGACTCTCGTAAAATATGTTATTGGTCTGTTCATCTTTATCTTCGGTCGGAGCATGGGCGAAAATGAGACTGATGTAGAAGAACTTCGCTTTTATACGGATTATAGCAATTCGCTCATCTACTGTAGTGAATCTGGAGACGAGGTCTTTTATACTCCTGTTGACCATAAATCCGCAGCCAAATTCATGTCTCGTTTCATGGCAGCTATAATACAGGGCGTAATCATGTGATTTACTTACGCCTGTCCCTTTCCATCGCATTTACTGTCAGGCAATAATATCGCCTTTGTAATTCTTGAGTATATCCGCCAAAGCGAACACTGCGCCTGTTCTGTACAACTTGCGCACATTCCAAGTTCAGATTCGCATAAAAATTTTTTATCTTACACAAATTTTTCCCGGTAATTTATGATTGGATGTGTAATTTTCTGCTTAAATATTTTACTCAAGATATTCAGATACACATACATATGTATAGAAAATGAATATTAGGTCAGAGGTATGATTACTTTTGATGCCATAACAACGCATCTTTCTTCCATAGGATGGCATGACTTACCGCGAAAATATCAGCAAAATCAATTTTTGTGTCTTCAACCCAAAAAAGTTTCCATTTCCTATATATAGGTTAATTAAATTCTCCTATTATAGTACGCTATAGGGATGATACGTATTTGGAACCAAATCACTCAGACAAACTTTGAAGTGGGAATCTGTAACCCTTCTTAAAATATAAGCTTAGAAAATGAATATTACTTCAGTGATATAATAACTTTCGATGCCATAACACCATATCCACGCGGATTTTTGTGAGTGATTTTATCCCCAAACGTATCAGGCTCATTTTTGTATGGATGATGTGTATTTACACCTACATTATTCAGACAAATTTTGAAGACGGTGTCTATAACCGTGCTTAAGATATACGCATCTTATAAGTTTAGAAATGTTAAGGTATGTTTACTATTAATGCTATAACTCTGCATCAACGCGGAATTTTAGAACTTTATCTAGCATATGTTACTTTCAGAGAATATCATGACATACTGTGTAAATTTAATTAACATCTGTTCAGCGGTTTTTGCTTCTATCGGTAGCATACAAACACATAGAAAATCACATATTTAAAATCGTTAAATTGACATTCTCTGATTTGCGACTTTAATGCCAGACATGTTTCATGGGGGGATACCATGAATAACATAAATGGGAATAGTTTTTATGATCACCTCCAACATCATCCATATTTCTTTACCAGAATATCTTCTTCTTGTCCTACTTTTCCTAATGGTTCATCATATTTGGATCATTTTCTTATCAGTTCTAATGCTATAGACTTGCCCAATCCAATTTATTCTACTTCCTGTTTACCAAGTTTTTCAGATCACTATCCTCTCAAGCTTAGCGTTAATTTTCCAAGTGTCGAAATTATTTTAAAGGCACTGCTTACTTTCATAAGCTACAAAAATACGAATTGGAATGATTTCAAATATGATGTAACTCAAGGTATTTTGGACCATTATCGGAATATAGGAATTTGACTAACGATGAAATCGATCAGTATATAGATGACTTTACTTCTGTTGTTAATTCGGTCTCTGAATTTCATTCCAAAAAATTGACTTGAAAAAAAGACAATTTACAGTATCAGATAGGATAAAACAGCTATTCAAAATGAAATATAATTGGCAAAACATAACAGGCGCAGTCCGGAATATCTGAGATCATCGAAACAAATCCAATTATTAAGTATAATGATAAAAAGACAGGTAGAACTTGAGCAAGTTACGAATTTCTATTATAAAATTAAAAATATTAAGCCGGGGCCAAAGGCGCATAAGGAAGTTTTTAAAATTATTGGTCATCAGAGATCCCGTCCGATAGACAAACTTGCAGTAGATGGTACTGTTATAAGTGATGATTCTGAATGTCTTACGCTTTTAAAATCATTTGTTTTAACGTTTATAATAACGCTGCTAGCCTTCCTTCTGTAAGTGAAGATTTTGCTAACGGATATATTGCAAACGTTCCACAGAACTGTCACGTATTTTCCAGTGATTCAGATGCTAGAAATCAAACAGGATGTGTAAATTTAACAAATTTAAGTGAAATTCTGGCTGTTGCTACCTCTATTAAAAATAAGAAATCTTTCGGACTTGACAAACTTTCTAATTTCACAATTCTTAAGTTTCCAACAAAGGCCTTTGCATTTCTTACCATTATCTTTAATAACTGCATTTCAATCGGCTATTTCCCAGAATCTTGGAAAGTCTCTAAAATTGTTCCCATAAAGAAAAAACCCAATAATGGTGACATATCTAATTTGTGACCTATATCCTTGTTGTTTAACATTGGTAAACTTTTTGAAATGATTATACGTATTAAAATGGATGTAGGAGTCACTCTACCGTATATATCTAATTCACAGTTCCCTTTAGAGACAAAATTGCGTACTTGGGAGTAGAGTTTAACAAACTATTTAAATTTAATTCACATGCTAGAAAAGCATTAAATAAGGCCCGAGGAATTTTTATTTTATTTTTTAAAATTCTGAACATTAAAGCTTTGACTGCAAGTACAAAATTAATGTTGTACAAGACATGTATAACGGCTGTTTTTTGTATGCCTTTCCTGTCTGTTTTGCATATCAACAATTGTTGTGAAAGAGCTAGAGGTTTTTGAGAGAAAATTTTTGAGACTTTGCATCGAATGTATGTGTCAATAAGAGATATTCGAATAATTTTTTTTATGAAAATTCAAAATTGCAACGTATGTCTACCTATATTTGTACGATCTTGGATAAGTTCAATGCAAGATTAGAGTTTCATGAAAATGTGCATATGAATGAGGCATGTAATAGTCAAGTGAACATTGGTTGGTATAACACAAATTATCTATCACCTATAGGTAGAGATGGTATTTACCGGGTAAACACCCAAGGGGTGGGTAAATACCGGGTAAATACCCATTTGCGGGTATTTACTATATTGAATCGGTAATACAACATCTTACACCCTATTCCCGGGTTTCTATTATCAAATCGATTTAGAATGGATAGTTTTACGATATTTTAAAGACGTGGGTAAATACCCGAGTTTTTACCCAAAAATTGGGTATAAACTCATTAACTGCCGAACCACTTGACATAGGCGGCCAAAATTTTGACACATGTTTCTAATGTCAAAGCAAATATAGAAATCCAACATGGGGTCCCTGGGTCCAAGTTTTGAAATAGCCCTCATATAACCATATTTCCCGATTTAAGGTATTTTTTGTCTATTAGACACATTTTACAACCAAATTGGCTGTAATTTGGCACAGAGTGTTCTTTTTGAGTACAAAAGGCCCATGCAAAATTTTATGTATGTAGGTCCACGTTTACTGGTAGCCCCCATACAAAGGTACCCCTATTTTGAGTTTTTACCCAAAAATTGGGTATAAACTCATTAACTGCCGAACCACTTGACATAGGCGGCCAAAATACAAAGGTACCCCTATTTTGAGTATTTACCCAAAAATTGGGTATAAACTCATTAACTGCCGAACCACTTGACATAGGCGGCCAAAATTTTGCACACATGTTTCTAATGTCAAAGCAAATATAGAAATCTAACATGGGGTCACTGGGTCCAAGTTTTGATATAGCCCCCATATAACCGGATCTCCCGATTTAAGGTATTTTTTGTCTATTAGACACATTTTACAACCAAATTGGTATAATTTCATATCAATGCAAATACTAGCATGGGAAATGGGTCTCTGGGTCCAAGTGTGGATATAGCCCCATATAACCGTACCTTCCGATTTTGGCCAATTTGATTGGATGGAATTTGGCACAGAGAGTTCTCTATGAGTACCAACTATCCATGCAAAAAATGTCTACGCTGATCCACGTTTTCTGTCCTATATAACGATCCTGATATTGAGTATTTATATATATTTATAAACTATTTAACAGCCTTGTCGTGTGTTCTGAAGACCCCATTTCCCATGCACGAAATAATGTTAATATTTTAACCTTTTGTGTCAAAAACAACAATTTGCATGAATATTTGGTGCAAACAGAGATCTCATTATGCCAAATTATAACCAATTTGATCGTAAAATGTTTCTAATAGACAAAAAATACCTTATATCGGGAGGTACGGTTATATAAGGGCTATATCAAATCTTGGACCCAGAGATCCCATTTCAAATACTAGTATTTACATTGATATGAAATTATAACCAATTTGGTCGTAAAATGTGTCTAATAGACAAAAAATACCTTAAATCGGGAGATATGGCTATATGGGGACTATATCAAAACTTGGACCCAGGGACCCCATTTTGGATTTTTATATTTGCTTTGACATTAGAAACATGTGTACAAAATTTTGGCCGCCTATGTCAAGTGGTTCGGCAGTTAATGAGTTTATACCCAATTGTTGGGTAAATACTCAAAATAGGGGTACCTTTGTATGGGGGCTACCAGTAAACGTTGACCTACATACATACAATTTTGCATGGACATTTTGTACTCAAAAAGAACACTCTGTGCCAAATTACAGCCAATGTGGTTGTAAAATGTGTCTAATAGACAAAAAATACCTTAAATCGGGAAATATGGGGGCTATATCAAAACTTGGACCCAGGGACCCCATGTTGGTTTTTTTAGATTTACTTTGACATTAGAAACATGTGTGCAAAATTTTGGCCGCCTATGTCAAGTGGTTCGGCAGTTAATGAGTTTATACCCAATTTTTGGGTAAATACTCAAAATAGGGGTACCTTTGTATGGGGGCTACCAGTAAACGTGGACCTACATACATAAAATTTTGCATGGACATTTTGTACTCAAAAAGAACACTCTGTGCCAAATTACAGCCAATTTGGTTGTAAAATGTGTCTAATAGACAAAAAATACCTTAAATCGGGAAATATGGTTATATGGGGGCTATATCAAAACTTGGACCCAGGGATGCAGTGACATTAGAAACATGTGTGCAAAATTTTGGCCACCTATGTCAAGTGGTTCGGCAGTTAATGAGTTTTTACCCAATTTTTGGGTAAAAACTCGGGTATTTACCTAAGAATTTACCGACGTCTTTAAAGTATCGTAAAACTATCCATTCTAAATCGATTTGATAACAGAAACCCGGAAATAGGGTGTAAGATGTTGTATTACCGATTCAATATAGTAAATACCCAAATAAATACACACAAATGGGTATTTACCCAATTTACCGGGTATTTACACAATTTACCAGGAATTCAGTTTTACGAAAAGGCACTGACCGGTACACATCGTGGGTAGTTATTGATTTACCTACTTTTACTTTTTTGTCTGTTCATTGCTTTGTATCATTAGTTTTAAATTTATAAACCCTGGATAAATTATCCCTTCTTATTGTATTAGTCTTGGGAGCAAGGATGTACGTAACTTTAACTGATGTATACCCAGATTTTATGTCCCATTTCATGTAAAAGCTGGGCGCTGTAATATCTGTCACTGCATTACGATAATACATTATAGTCATAAGTCCTTCATATTATGTATCATACTTATATATTAACATTGTTTAAAATAAATAAATTTTATTTAGTTACTTAACTAAACTTGATTCATCGATATTATAAGTTGAACATATTGCATATTTTTAGGCGGTTGTACAAACGACCCGTACACAGCTTGTCCGTAATAGTAAATTTATTTGATTGAAGTCTCATTTGCCTATCAAAATTTGTTGTTTGAAGAATAAATAAACAAACAATATTTTTATTCGAACCAAAATATACGTGAGTATATTTTTCGTGTTCCGGTTGCTATTTCGCATATTAAAAAGTTGACAGCAAGAGAAGACTAAGGCATGAATTCGCCACCCGCTAGAACTTATTTGATAGGCCATGTGTATAACTGTATTCAGTTCCCACAAAGAGTCTATTTATTTTCAACGATGCTTGAGATATAGTGCAACCAAATCATAATGCTTAAATTAAATACTCTTAATATAATACCGATTTGCTATGTTGCCCAAGACTGTTTTAAATTTTCTTATAAATATATAATTTTATGTTAATGATACACCACAGACGCAACGTCTGACCGATTGTTATCAGACTATTGAACGTAAGAGGCCGTTCAAGTATTACGTAAGCCGATTTATTGTCATCTCCTCTTAAAGTGGCCCACACACGTTAAACATGTGCGTTCGATCGGTGTGAATCGAAGCAATGTTTGACGTGTGTGGTACGATTTGCCGGTGCGCACACCGATCGAAAGAAATTAAAAATTTTTAATTTTTCGTTGTGCGACGCGCACATGTTTTACGTCTGTGGCCTGGTGTGTGGATATTTTCTCATTTGTTGCGAAATTTCGTGGAGTGCGGATCAGCGGACAATGTCAAACATATGCACAAAAAAAAAACGTTTTGGAAGATTTTTGATGTTTTTTACACATATTCTACAGTGTGGCAAATAAAAATATTTAACCCGGAATAAAATAAAAGTATTTAATAAATTTATATTAAATTAAAATATTTGGTATTTTTTCCGTCACCACTATCGCTGTCCATCTCAACGCTTCAAAAATAAATACAAAATTAAGTTTTGTGGATCCGTTTGACGTGTGTGGGCTGGGAGCTTTACACCGATCGAACGCACATGTTTGACGTGTGTGGCCCACTTCAGATATATTCCCATATAATTATCTCTCAAATTGGCGGTATTTGGAGTAATTTTGACACATCAAAAATATCATTACGATATGGACGATAAAAACTAATACAAAATTCAAAACAGGTAACAATAAAATAGAATGTTTTGATAAAAATAAAAAAAATCGAAGTAAGAAATTGTTCTGATTGCACACAATCCATAGAGATTAGGGCCTACTTCAACAAATGTGCAGTGAAGCGAGTGGATTTTGCACTTTACACTCATTTTACGTCATAAAAATAAGAAGTAAAAAAGCGTTAAGTTCGGCCGGACCGAACTTTGGATATCCTCGACCATAGATATACTGACAGGTAATAGAAATGAAAATATAAAGAACATACCAAAAAGTGGACCTATACCGAAATTTCTAAAAACGGATTATGTAATCCATAATGTAAATCATAATACAAATTTCAGAAAATTTTAATGGATAATTATACCCTCAGCCTTATGGCATATGAGGGTGTATATACTTTAAAACGGTGAAAATGTTCTTCATTTTTGCCCATCCCATTATTTCTTCCAAATCTAGTTCAAATTCGAAGATGGGGAAAGTCGGTCCACTCCTTCTGGAACATCCACACAGAGACTAGGTCTAAATACGGCTGTAGTTCATTATCGATCCTTACGTTCTAATTTTTTATCTCACTATCCTCCGCAGGTGAAATGATTACAACAGAGTCTTAGAACCAAACTCAAAACGCGGAACAAATCAGATAACTATTTTAATATAAAAAAATCAGATAACTATTTTAATATAAAAAAGGGGGTTATATGGGGACTACCCCAAAAAGGGGGCGAATATTAAAAATTTTTGGTAGGGAGGGGGCGAATATTAAAAATTTTTGGTAGGGAGATTTGTTACCTTATACGACTACAAAATACTAAATTTCAGCAAATTCGATTGAAAAACGCGCTCAAGAACCCCAAAAATACGTAAAATTGGGGGTACCCTTATATGGGGGCTATCCGAAAAAATTGACTAATACTTATAATTTTTTGTGGAGAGATTTGCTACGCAATAAGAACTCAAAGTACCAAATTTCAGCGAATTCGGTGGAAAAACGCGCTCAAGAACCCTAAAATACCGAAAATTGGGGGGTACCCTTATATTGGGGCTACCCGAAAAAATTGACCTATATTTATAATTTTTAGTATAGAGATTTGCTAACCAATAAGAACTCAAAGTACCGGATTTCAGCGAATTTGGTCGAAAAATGCGATCGAAACCCCCAAAATACCGCAAAATTAGGGGTACCATTATATGGGGGCTATCCAAAAATATGGACCCATATTCATAATTTTTAGTGGAGAGATTTGCTACCCAATAATAACTCAATGTACCAAATTTTAGCGACTTTGGTTGAAAAACGGGCTCAAGAACCCCAAAATACTGAAAATTTGGGGGTACCCTTATATGGGAGGTATGCCTAAACGTGGACCGATATAGCCCATCTTCGAACTTGACCTGCCTGCAGACAAAAGACGACTCTATGCAAAATTTTGGCGTTCTATCTCAATTCGTTTAGACGCTAGAGTGATTACAACAGACAGACAGACGGACATGCTTAGATCGTCATAGAATTTTACGCTGATCAAGAATATATACCTTATAGGGTCGGAAATGATTATTTCGATGCGTTACAAACGGAAAAACAAAACTAATATACCCTCCATACTATGGTGGAGGGTATAAAAAGGGGGTTATATGGGGACAACCCCAAAAAGGGGGCGAATAGTAATAATTTTTGGTAGGGAGACTTGTTACCCTATACGACTACAAAACACCAAATTGCAGCAAATTCGGTTGAAAAACGCGCTAAAGAACCCCAAAATATCGAAAATTGGGGGCTATCCGAAAAAATGGACCTATATTCATAATTTTTTGTGGAGAGATTTGGTACCTATTAAGAACTCAAATTACTAAATTACAGCTAATTCGGCGGAAAAATACGATCAAAACCCCCAAAATACTGAAAATTGGGAGGTACCGTTATATGGGGGCTACTAGAAAAAGTGGACCTATATTTATAATTTTTTGTGGAGACATTTGAGACCCAATAAGAACCCAATGTAGCAAATTTCAGCGAATTCGGCTGAAAAACGCGCTTAAGAACCCCAAAATACCGAAAATTGGAAGGTACCCTTATATGAGGGCTACCCGAAAAAATGGACCTATATACATAATTTTTTGTAGAGAGATTTGATACCTATTAAGAACTCAAAATACTAAATTACAGCCAATTAGGTGGAAAAATGCGCTCAAGACCCCCAAAATACTGAAAATTAGTAGGTACCGTTATATGGGGGCTACCAGAAAATATGGACCTATACTTATAACTTTTTTGTAGAGACATTTAGTATCCAATAAGAACTCAATGTACCAAATTTCAGCCAATTCGGCTGAAAAACGCGCTCAAGAACCCCAAAATACCGAAATTTGGCGGGTACCCTTATATGGGTGCTATGCCTAAACGTGGGCCGATATATCCCATCTTCGAACTTGACCTGCCAGCAGACAAAAGACAAACCTATGCAAAATTTCAGCACCCTATCTCAATTCCTTCAGAAGATAGCGTGATTACGACAGACGGACTGACATGGCTAGATCGACTTAGAATTTTACCCTGATCAAGAATATATATACTTTATAGGGTCGGAAACGAATATTTCGATGAGTTACAAACGGAATGACAAAATTAATATACCCTCCATACTATGGTGGAGGGTATAAAAAGGGTTTCTTTTGAGAATAGGCACAGCAACTTAATTAGACAATTTTCATATTGAACCAGCAGCTTCCGAACCGAACCTCCCAAAATAAAACCTATGTGCATTGGTGATAACCTCATAGCACCTTTGCTGCTACATTAAAACGATTGCGAACCTTGGCTGCTACAATCGATATTGGCTTCTCGGATCGATTGAACGTCTAAAACACAGCACAACACAACATGATCTATTTGATTTCTCGTTGCTTGTTCGGAGGAAATCCAAGTGGCCTTGTCTATATCGAGATGCTTGAATCTGGTGCTGCTAACTACCATTTCTTGACTGCCGCGAAATCAATCAGCCTCATGCCGTTGTCTAATGTTTCTTCATGGAGTCTGAATTTTCCGATGGTGGGGCCAAAAATATTTTCCCTTCCGATTTTTGCATTAAATCTCCTAACAGGCATTAACATGTCATGGCCAGGGCATAAAAATATGTCTCTGGTCTGTTCATCTGATTGTCTTATGTTGATTAAAAATTATTGAATTTTTTTAGAGAAAGTTTCATAGCCCCCATTTCGATATTTTAATGGTTTTAGCTGGATTATCCCAAAATGTGTCTGCAATTAGGATTCTGGAGTCTAAAATGTGATTATTTTTTCACATCTGTTGATATAAAAAGTTATATTCAAATGTTTGACACATATAGACATTGTGTCCGTATCAATAGGGACCCACCTCATTTAATTTTTTTTTTTAGGTTCTAGACGCATTTAGGACATCATTTTGCAATAACATAGTATCCATATAAAGGTCCAGACTTCATTAAGAAATTTTAAATATATCCACCACGTGGTGTAGGGTTCCACACGGCTGATCTAAACTATGTTTTAGTGTTTAATGTTAACATCCCTTTAACGCAAACGCCGTGTACAATTTCTATCAATCAATACAGCTGCAAGTGGGAATTTTTAAATCAAATCAAATATATATTATTTTCTCTTCAATTCAATAAATATTTGGTAAGACATTTCAACAAAAATAATAACATCATAACATTGACAATGGAAACAATATTCTTTGGACCAGAATTCCTAAATAGCTCTTCTTTTTCAGCGGCTGCAACCATTGCAATAAGACCATCTGTAACCTCCTCGCACACTTCTTTGATTTGATTGGGCGGCAGGAAGAATCCATATTCACCATAATCGCGCAATTCAATGGTACCAGTATAGGGGATTTTCTTGACACCATATGCCCAATCTTTGGATGCTCCAGACACATAACCAGATACTGGAAAAAAGGAAAAGAAAAATAAATGAAGATATACATAAGCATAAATGGTACCGAAAAATTAACAATAAAACGAGAAATTCAACTATATTTATTTCCTTTAGAATAAAACCACAAAATTTTAGAATCATACTTACTATTAATTGTTCCCGTCGAACCATATTTGAATACGGTGCCATATTTCACTTTAGCCGCATCCGCAAAAGCCTTAGCAATTCGCATCATCTGATCATAGTTGGGTGGAAAGATATCACTTGTATGGCCATAGGGGAGTAAAACCAAATTACCATACGAATGGAAGGGTACATACATTTTAATGTAATCATCGGGGAAGGAATTAATAAATTTCTGCATATTAATAACTTCTGGTTCCGAGTCCGGTTGGGAGCCACCATACCAATGATCACAGGGCTCATTGAAATTCCATGCCGACAATGCACCCCATTCGTAGCCAAAATTACGATTCAAGTCGGTACCATAACATATACCCGATGAGTTGGAGAAACCAGTGGGCTTGCGATTTTTACGCCACAGACGTTCTACCGTGTGGGTGTACACAAAACCATCAGGATTCACCACGGGTACATATATCCAATCGTAATTCATTAGTAATTTGCGTAGATTTTCATCGTTGGAATTCAATAGCTTATTGAAGAAGCAGGTACTGGTCGCTGAAGAAATCCATTCGATGGCATGCATTTGACTTTCAATGAAGATAGCTTTGTTATTTGGTTTATAGGAAATTTTCACCGCCTTCATTGGTCTTCCTTCATAAGAATAGCCAAAGGTGTAGGGTGTAATTAAATCCGGAAATGAGACAGTTAGGTTGTCGACAAAATTATAAATATCCTCCAAATTGTGAAATTTATCCCAACTCATGCCAGTGCTACGCGCCCTGGGAAGACTGTCCTCTATTACTCTGAAAGAAAGAGAATAACATAATTTTAAACAAGGAACAAGTTCGAGTCGGACCGAATATTTTATACCCTCACCGTGCACTTGCAAAGTATCTTAAAACGATCGGGACTTTTAAAAATGGGTAAATTGTTATCGGAATAAAACGAACATGCCAAAATGATCAATATACCAAAAGTTGGGGTCTGGTTTTTAATACAGACCGACTCAAGATGGAAGAAGGTACAGGGGCTGGCGTCTACTGTGAAAAGCACTTACCTACAATTTGGATAGCAACTGCGATGTTTTCCAAACTGAAATCTTCTCGATATGGAAGGCAGCAGAATTGATACAAATTAGAATGCAAAGATCGTTGAACCGGTGACTAGTCAAGCGGCTCTTAAATCCTGTAGAATGGCGTATGAGGTCGTCTTAGAGTGTAGATAAGCTTTCTATCTGTCACCTTTTCCGAAAATTTGCGGTGCTCTTTGAGGTAAGGGTCATGAATTCTGACGCAACGATCCTAGGTGCAATGTGTCAAAATTTATCTGACCGACTCTGCCAACCGAAAGAACAATCTCAATGTTGAACCTGACCAAAGCTGAAATGGATACTGGTACTTCAGCAAAGCAACACTTGGGTACCGAAAACCACCATCAAGAAACCCATGATACGATCAGGAGTATCGTAATCATGTGAAAAATGCTGCGTATAGGGCAACACGTAATGCGATGGAGAATTATCGGGAGAAAAGGAGTGAAAAAAAGAACGAGAAAAACGTGAGCGTGACCAAATCGAGATTACAGGAGTCAGAATGAAGTCCGGAAATTTTACCAACGATTAAAACATCAAACCGAAGGATTTGGTGGCGGTGAGGAATATATCCCAGAACCAATAAGAGATGACTGTATAGAGTGTATACCACCTAGCCACGGTGAGGTCAGAATATCAATCAATTGGTTGAATAATAAAGCAGGAGGTTCCGAAGCGTTACAAGCCGATCTATTCAAGATAGGTGGTCATATCCTGGTGAGGAGCATGCACATGCATTTGGCTAGAGGAATACATGCCCAATAATTGGAACATCAGCATCCTGTGTCCCGTGCACAAAAAAAACGAGACGACAGGCAAAACGATATGTGCCAAATATATTGAAATTAGTTTCCATTCCATCGTATAAAATTGTATTGGATATCATCAATGCGGCTTCAGACGAAGCAAATCCACTATAGACCAGATTATTACACTGCCAAATCTTGGAAAAGACCTACCACAAATACATTGACACATTTTACCTATTCGTCGACTATAAAGCCGCATACGGCAGTCCTATCCGAGCAGAGGTGTTTAAAGTTATGTCTGCGTTCGGCATTTCTGCTAAATTAATACGGCTATGCAGGATAACATTAACCGGCACAAGGACAGCATTTAAAGTCGGAAAGGACCTATCGGAGCCCTTCAATACCGAACGAGGATTCAGACAAGGTGACAAGGTTTGTCATGTGGTCTTTTTAACATCCTGCTGGAAAAGGTCATACGAGACGCAAACGTGAACAGAAATGACACTCTGTACACCAAACAACACATGTTACTCGTCTACGCCGACAACATCGACATAATGGACCAAACATTGCGAGCGGTAACAGCCACTTTTGAACAAATTGATAAGGAGTTTGGCTGTAAATGGTGGGAAGACCAAGCTGATGGCATCAACGCACAAGTCGTCCAGTAGAGTCGGATCAACTGTGGAACTTGAAAATTACAGCATTGAGGTAGTCAAAGTTTTTATATACTTCGGTACCGCCATAAATAAAACTAATGGCTTCTTAGAGTGTTTGAGAGATATCTACTTGCCGATCTGCGTCGACGGTGAATATCGGTGTCGCATGAACCACAAACTATATCATCGATTCACGGACATCGGCCATGTTGTGCGAATGGATGGATGGATGCCCCAGCTCAACCGAGCCTAGTAATGGTTTAAGCAGACGGAGAATGCCATGAATTCGATGGAAAGAAGAAGTGGAGGATGGCATATCAAAGCATGGTCTTTCAAAGTGAAAAAAACGTCGCACAAAATCGACGCGCCTTTAATTTTTTTTTTTAAGTTCGGCTTATAGAACAAATGTTCTGTTTCGAGCTACATTTTCACATAATCACAACTCAAAATATTAAATTGCAGAAAATTCAATTGACGGTACGGGCGTCAAACTTCAGAAAATGGGAAAATTTAGGAGGTAACTTTATATGGGGGCTACCCTGCCATATAGGCAAATTTTCATCATTTTTGCTATGGAAATGTATGAAAGCTCACTATATCAAATCAGAGTCAATTCGAATGAGAAACGTAACGGTATATCCAAAATGTTAGCAGAATATCTGAATTCGGAAGATTGCGTGATTGTAGACGAACTTAACCATATCATAGTTTTCAATATATGACCTTAGATATTCACCGATAAATTCGTATTCCAAACATACCTTTGCAAATCCTCAATGGTTACACGATATTCCATTTCATAATATTTCAATTGTTCCTCAAATTTCGCTTGATTGTGTGGATCAATGGTCACGTCGTAGCTATTCTCCGCCGCAGTGATTTCATTCAAATATCGAACCTTAAAGCCAACAAGAAAAATTAAATTAACACTTCGTCCTTAGCACCCACACACACGCACACATTTCAACATACCGGTAAAATATCTCGCAATTTTTTCAACTCATTTAATTGTTGTTCATTTTTTATGTAGATTTTATAGACTTTGAAATCGTCATAACGGACCATACCAGGTTCTCCGGCCGCCAATGTGGTGGCCACAAACAAGCCCACAAACACTACAAGACCCGACAACTTCATTGTAAGAACTACAGAAGAAAATATTTTTTCAATTTACTTTTTATAGTAGAAACACAAACAATTTTGGATACAACTTCGCTACATTCGATAGCTTCATATCTAATATCTAAATTTTGATAAGACCACTGTTTATTGCCTATTTTATGATTGCAGAATAAAATCATGCAGGCCGTTCTTCGTGTGTGGCATTTATAGAGATCGTATATTTTAAAAATATCAGAAGAAATCTGAACTTTAGACAAGCTATCGCAGGAAACATATGTGTAGTATAAATGCTAACAAATACGAGGTTTGTTCAAAAAGTATTCGGGAATTTCGGAAGTTTCTTCACAGTTTTCTTCAATTACAAAGAATATTTTGGGTAGCAATATTGCTCCGATTTTCCCCAATTTCAATAGGGTTCGTCCTTAGTGTGTGCTGTGCTGTGCCAAATTTCATCCCATTCGGATAATAAATGCGACCTGTACTTTGTGCGCAAGAGTACATGGACGGACAGACGGACATGAACTCAGAAAGTGATTCTATGCATACTCTCAAAAGGAACCATGTGTCCATATCGTTTCCTTTTGCCTCTTACAAACATATGCACAAAGACATAATACCCTGTACCACAGTGTGGTGAAGCGTGTACAAAAAATTACCACCGTTTTCGATCCACCTTATTAAAATTTTATGTTTATCTTGCAGTTCGTCATCAGCGTCCTCGACACCCTTATCTGTTATATTTATATATTTCATAAATTCACTGCTCTGATTATGGCCAACAAATGGGATCTCTGGCTCATGGTGCAAGGGTTCAAATCTTATAATTGACAAGCTGCCTTTTTATTAAAAAAAAATTAGGGTAAATTTTTCTGATGCTCAAATATTTGAATATTTAGATCAACGGTTATTGTAAAAGTGTATTCTGGTAGCTGTGGATGTTATAAACTAATATTTGTATATAAATGGAGATCACATGCTGCAAGAACGGCATAAATCAAACAGATAATAAACGTATATGTTCGGTCGGGCCAAACTTTGTATAGCCTCCACCATAGGTATACTGACAGATACTTGAAATGCAAATATAGGGAACATACCAAAAAGTGGAACTATACAGATAATTCTACAAACCGATTTATGCAAATCAAATGTACACCAAATACAAATTTTTAATGGTGATTTTTCCTAAAATCTGAAACCCCTAAACCGTGGACTTATACTGATAATGCATGGTAGAGTATAAAATCCTCTAACTACTCCAATTTAGAGTGCCATGTAATTTGAGGCTATGCCTAAAGGGGGACCAATACTGATTACATAGTGTAGGAATTAGGGAATATTTGGGGTTATCATTATATGAGGGCTATGCCTAATTAATGACCGATAGAGCTCAATTTCGAACCCAATATTTTTGGTTTGTATTTCAATTCATTCCTTCAGGATGTATTATTATATGGCGTAGATGCCTAAATACTGACCGATATATTTCATTATCGTCAGTTTTGAGTTTTTATCTCGATATTCTTTGAAGGCAATATGATTACTACAGATGACTAAATCATCTTAGAATTCCATACTTTGTAGGATATTGAAAATTGGAGGTACCGTTATATGGGGGCTACGAGAAAAAGTTGACCTATATTTTAGTTTAGAGGTTACAGTGATTAAACAAAAGTGAACCTATATTTTAGTTTAGAGGTTACAGTGATTAAATCAGGCGGACATGGCTAAATCGTCATAGAGTTTTACGCTGATCAAGAATATTTATACTTTATAGGGTCGGAAATCATTATTTCGATGAGATACAAACGGAAAAACAAAATTAAAATAATCTCCATATAACGGTGGAGGGTATAACCATTTAGTTTCTCAATCGACTCACACCTTACAAGGAACAGAAGGACAGACTTGCGATCCTAAGAGCTCCTTATTAAAAGAAATATGACATTTTAAGGGAATGGTTAGGAGCGAAGGTTCGAATAGGTTATGTATACAATTAAATATGTTATTGAGGGCCAAATACGAAGGAGCCAATTTGACAATTTTCATCGAATGTGGTTGATTATCAATGTTTTTATATGTCTAAAGAGCGAACTTTTTAAGGCCATAAAACATAATTAGAATTATAAAAGAATTGAAGTTCTACGTCATTGTACGATAACATTAAATAATAACAAATCATTTTTAAATAAAGAATTTTTTTATGATTTTTGCAATACATTGTATTAAAAAATCTTTGTACGTATTACTCTATGGACAATTTTTTATTTGACTTTAAAAAGTGTGACTTTAAAATTACTTGTACTTCAACAGGACGCTCGATATTCTGTTCCTTATTTTGGTGTAAAAATTTCAAGGGTTCGGATGCATGAAAAAGCTGGGCTGAGGCATAGGAAATGTTCTAACGTTTCGTTGACTTCCCCACACACTAGACACCTGCTGCTTCCCGCACACCTAATCTTGTGTAAATGTGACTGCAGGCTGAGATGTCCTGTGAGAATACCTATCAGTCTGCTTAGTTTTTTTCTTGTTTAGCGCAAGTATTTGCTTAGTCTTATCCTCATTTGGATCTTCCCATAAGATTTTTGTGTTTTTTCCAATCCTCTCGTTATTCCAGAGTGTTATGTGCCCCTCTTTCGCCCATGACCTCATTTCTAGACGTGATGCGCTAAAAGGTTTTGCACTGTTCACATCTATGTTGATTAGGTCAGTAGCAAGTCTGGCGAGTTGGTTGGCTATTTCGTTTCCTATGATTCCTGAGTGACCCGTGTCGTGGGAAATTGTTTGTGGTTTTATTCATTCCAATACCCATTTGATGTAACTGTTTTGGATGTTGATGCATTAATAGCATGTTTACTATCTGTCATGATATTTGTGTTATTATGTCCAGAGTTAGCGCTTAACCAACTTACACTCTCCGTTATAGCTTGAACCTCCGCCTGTAGGATAGTATTGTGATCTGGCAGGTGCAGTGAGATTTCAGTCCCCGGTTCTTCTATAAAAAGTCCCAATCCCGTCTTTTCCGCTAGCCGGGAGCCATCCGGGTAACAACAGTTCCCCGCAGGCATATGTGCTAGTGTTCCGCTGTTCCATGAGTCTCTGCCCGGTTTCAGGATTTCACATGATGTGATTACTCTTCTTTTAGGTATTCGGTCTGACTCAAAATGGCTAATTGAGTGTCCGATCGTAGCCTGTAGTATATTATTGCGCGGTGTGTTGTGTTCGGTGTCGATCCACTCGTTCATGGTTTTAAGTCTTAAAGCTGCGATGGCCGCTTCATATTTTATTTGGATGTCAACGGGATGTATACACAATATAGTTTCCAATGCCCTGGTTGGTGTTGTCCGCATTGTCCCTCATATGCCAGTTCTTTGGACTATCTGTAGTGCTATTACATTACATTTTTTGTCCAGACTACAGACGCGTATGTTAGAATTGGCCTAATAACGCTCTTGCAGTGTACCATCTTTGGGTTGAAACCCCATTTAGAGCCCACGGCTCTAATACAGAAAGACCAGCATCTGTGGGCCTTTTCGACCCGTTGTTATATGTGGTCTTTCCATCTAAGTTTTCTATCTATGATGACACCCAGATATTTGACTTTATTCGATATGGCTATCATTTTGTTTTGATAGATTGGTTCTTCATACTGTCCTATTTTTATCTTTCTAGTGAAGATACATATTTCCGTTTTGTCCGGATTTACGTTTAGAACCCTCGGCCTCGCCCAATTATAAGCGATGTTTAACGCCGTTTCAACCTTCCTGAATAGTAAGTTAGGATTATATCCCTTTGAAGTATTATAACGTCGTCTGCATAACAGACTGGTTCAAAACCATCCTGGGTTCCTTAAGAGACTACTGATAGTTGGGACCCACAGAAGTGGTGACAGGATCCCTCCCTGCGGTCAGGGACAACGTAGGACAAGGGACCTACGTTGTCCCTGATAGTTATGTCTTGTAGGCTACAGTTTATCCATCTATTCCTTAGCATATGGCTGACCCAGTCTATAATTGCCTGGTCAACACGAAAGACTTCTAAGGATAAGTGTTTCGGTGCTGACATTATTAAAAGATCCTTCGATGTCAATGCAGACGGTTAGAGTGTACATTTTCTTATCGAAAGTTCCTTTGATGTGGTGTACTACGTCATGTAAAGCGGTTTCCACTGATCAGTCCTATAAAGAGTGAATAATAAGATCATGAACAACCTGCTGCGAGAGAGGGACCCCATTGATCTGAATTGATGCAGGTTCAATGGGGACTATCAAATGCTTTAACTTGAGTCACAAAGGAGCATAGAAACCCTGAGAAAACTAGTGGTAGATATCGTCCCGATAAACGAGACAACTTAAACTTAAACAGGTGAGAAAACCTCAACTACAAAATGCCACAGTTTGCGTCTGAGAGTTCGCGATAGAACGCATGCTGAAAGTCTTTGGTATGCAGAACAGGACACTGCTGGTGAAGAAATGGGAAGTCTACCATAGGAAGGAGAAAAAAGATGGAATTCTATTAGTGGTGAGCCTTAACAGTTCTTTAGTGCCATGTCTGATCAAGACTAAGGGAAAGATGCAGTACGTGGCCAACGCAGTCTTCTTCAAAATAGGGAAGACAAGGATTGAAGAAGAGGAGGTCAAGAAGAGTAAGGTAGGTAGAAAACCCTAGCAACAAAAGGGAGGGAGCCGAGTAGAAGATAACCAACTTTTAAGATAACCGTTAACTGGAGGAACACTGACAGAAGTCATCCAGATAAACATCCAACGGAGTGAGACGGCAACACTTGCTATGATGGAAAAAATTTAAGTAAAATTCACATCAGATTAATACAGGAACCTTGGATAGTAAAACAACAAGGTATCTGGATTAAAACAGGTTCCCGACAAAAAAAAGCCCCTGTATAATTCTGTTACGTTCTTGGATTTTACTTAATCCCGTGTAGACGTTGTTTTATTTCCCAGCACAGTTCGTACTAAATAAAACGCGGGTTCTTTCTGATTGCGATTATTACAATGA